TAGTGCTCTTAATGCGGCTTATAACAAGCACAAGAAAGAAACAGAGAGAGATTAAAAAAAACTGATTTGATTTTCACCATGTTCTCCAATCACTCTGACTCAGGTTTTAATGAGCAATGAAATGTCTAAATTTCAAACATCAGACAACAGAAGGAGGAAGAGAAGAAAAAAACATTAGCAATCCATTCCTGTGATTATTTAATCTTGAATAATGGTATTAACTATATAGCAGAACTATGTACTTTTCACTATACACTTTAAATTTCCATGAAGTCTGATTAAAAAACAAAAAACATGACCCCAAAATAAAAACTTGATGAGAGTAGCAAATCTAGAGATTGACTGATCATACTACCACGATCTTTTCATTTCTTTAAACATTCAAGATAGATCATAAACTGGGTTGGTTTAAAATATGTCTAAAGGGACAATCTGCCCAGATAAAAACGCAAAGAAATTTTATCAGGGGTGAGCTTAAACCACATAAATATCTTCCTATGTGCTTTTGTTTCTCTATATCTGGTATCTTTCCTCATGGATTTAAGATATTATTTTGATCAGGATAAAAATATTATAAATATGAGAAAAAAGTTGACTTCATTTATGCATTTAAAACACATTCATTAAATACCTAAAATCTCTTCTTCCATCTCAGCAAAAGTTTTGAAGAAGCGTTTAAAACATAAATGTGCTTGTGTTTCTTGTTTGTTCTATCTGCATAAAAACAAACACCTTCTATTTGAAGGGCCACTTCATCAGAGCCATGCACCTAGTTGTCACCCAGTGTTTGCTGAAGGCAACACTGAAGCCGTGCTTCTTCATCAGTTGGCCAAGGTCAATTTCTCAAAAGAGAATAATTAATAAAAGTATATATTAAGGTAGGTTGGAAAGGCAACATGTTGAACTGATAACGCTTCTGCAAGTTTGAAGAGAAAGGGAAAACTACTCTTTTAAAACGTCCTTCCTTGCACCCCGGGCGGATATAATAAAACTACTGCCATGGGATGTCTATCATCGTTTCCTTTTCAAGGGAAAATACATAATTTATAATGGCTGATTTCCTCATGATGAGATTTTATTGAACTGACATTTATCATTATAATAAATCTACATAAGGTAAGGTTAAATGCATAATATCAAACATATGTTTTCAGAAATGGATATATCTGTATAAATGTGAACTGATTTATCATGACATTGCTTACCATGTCTGAATAAAAATAATGCAATTCAATCAAATTAAACTAAATGAGAAAATATGCTGAAAATAATGAAGGTTAATAAAAAGAAGAGTAAGAAAAATATAAACATAGTATCATGAATACATATTAAGGAAATATCACATACATGAGTGATAGTTGAAAAAAACAACTTGTATTCTCGTTATGCACATTTAAAATAATTAAACAATTAATACCAATAAAATGGCTTGGTTTTAAGGAAAAAAAGAATAAATTTGGATGGCTGGTCTTCATGATATATCAGTTTAATCATTAAACCTTCTTGTTTCATGATGACTTATGCCCCACAATATCCTCAATGGCAAAGCTAAGCTAACTCACTAGCTTCTGGCTACTCTTAACATCAGGAGCAGATCCAAGCTCTACCGACTTGCTATTTCTATTGAGATACTTTCCATTTGTATGCATCATGTTATGACGATACTTACCTTTAGTTGACTTACCTCTCTAGTTTAATCTGCCTAAATACAGAGTCCTGTTATCGGGCTATGTTCTTTAATGGTCTTTCCATATCATTAGTAGTACACAGAAATGCCATGCATATCAGTCAGTTATAAGACAACCAAAGGCAGAAGCTATGTATATGTAGGAACCGAAGAGTAAAACCTACTGTATGATTTAAAGCTCCACAGTTAGAAATGGAGCCTTGATATATGTGTGTGTGGTGTGTGTGTGTATCTCCTAAAATGATTACTTAAGAGTGTGATCTTGATGAATTTGGTATATTGCCGTTAATAGGACACAGCACATGAATTGTCTATTTTTTTTTTTAATTTCCTTTCAGGAAACACATGTGAATACCAGCCCCAAAATATTTCTTCTCTGATTTGTACCCAGAGATGTTAGAAGGGGGAAAGAAACGTGACTGGATAGGCTCACTGGCAGCTAATCATGAACTTCCCCTCAATAATGCTCAACAGACCCATTTTTCTGAGGCACTGTGGAAAGCAGGGCAGCTTACCTCCCCTAATTCCTTCCCCAAACATCAATTCGCACAATAACTTATGGGAATGTTTTATTGCAGATCATCACCACGCACTAGCGTCTGTTATTTGATTACAGTAAAGCCCTCTAGTTACACTTGCCTAATAGTTTCAAATAGAAGAGTATGCATAAAAGAACAACTAGGATTCACTATAAAACTTTAATATCACAACAGTGACTTTTGCAAAACAGTGAAGAACCATTTAATATGAGGTTTTTTTCCCATCCTCCATACCAACAAAGCTTTCTTCAATGGTAATTAAAAGTGACTTCCTCTTGAGGTTATAGATTGGCCATCCCCCTGAAGCATTCCTAAAAGGTGGGAAACTCTTTACAGTTATTGAGGCCCTCGTCAATGGCATTGCTGTAGCCATACAGCTCTTAAAAAGCTGCAGAGTATACTGCTTAGCATTCAGACCTACTTTCCTTGGCTATTTTCTCAGCCGACAATGGGATTATTACTGGGAAATTATCAAAGGGTTTGAGAGAAATTCAGTAGTTGGAGAAAACAAAAAAAAATTGTGAGAACTAAGTGTTTTAGCCTTGTGAAATATTTAATACGTCTCCAGAAATCTGTATATTGCAAGAAAACATCAATTATCATTGAAGAGAAGCCTGCGCTATTTGTGCTTATATTTTTATTACTCCAAATAAATAAAACATGTAATTAAAGGTTATGTAACATCTTGGAATCACCTTCCTTCAATAATTAGAAATAAAACCCAATTATTTTTTATGTGTTTCTATTTTAGGCCCACCATTATAGTCTCCAATTTGGTCTTAAACCATGGTTAAAAAGAAAGAACTAAAAGAAATCCCTTTACTCACCTGTGGAGGTATCTCAATGTTTAAATTCCACTAGTCTCAGAGTTATCAGGGTGTGTGTGGAGCAGGGAGCAGAAGTCAAAGCTTGTAATGATGAATTTTCATGGTCTGAAACTACTCTTGGGTTAAGACCGGTTCTTAAGAGTAGAGATAACATGCTATTTCTGGATCAGTGTGTGGGTGAGTAAATTTTCTGTGGGAAAAAAAGTAATAAAATCCAAAGGATAGCCATAAATCTATCTAGATTTCCATGGAGATGACATTTGGATTATTCTTCAGATGGTGTCAACATTATTTGCCCTAGTTTACTAGCTTAGATAGACTCATATTCAACTTCCTTTAGGTTAATCTGTGTAAACAGGATTGTGTAGTGTGACTCTATTTTGCATTCAATTCAGGATTTAGGAAAGCGTATTTATTTTTAAAATAAATAAAAAGAACAGAATGTTAACAACATACTGGCATATACTATTTATTTTGCAGTTACTTACTGTAAGTGCTGTCCTCATCTTTGGTGCCATCAATGGTTCCATCCGCCTGCAGCTGCAAGTGGTAGCCTTGTCGGCTGTATAGCTTGGTAACTATACCCTTAAGCTGAGGCTCTGCAAAGAGAACAAGGGTTTGGATCAATTGATACATTGTGCCTATGTAGTTGAAAAGACTCGGAATTTCAATTTCTAATTTCAGTTACAAATCTTAATGGAGTAAGTCAAACTACACTTTTAAAGTGTCTGGAAGAAAGAAAACAAACTCCAAGTTTCGGAATAAATTTCCAAACTAAAGAAACATTTTCTTTCTACCTGGAAACATTGGTAAAGCTTCTGAAAGTGTCTATGGTTTCTGATAACCTGTCCTTTGGTTTATAGAGTGGAACGCTATCTCATTGAGTATTTGTAATGGGATGGCAAATGGCTATGATGCCTTTTGAAATCGTGCTACTTTTCATGTGAAAGAAAAAGGAGAAATACAAAGATAATTCCAAGTTGTTTGCCAATCAACCAAGGACCAAAAACCCACTAGCAAAGATTTCCTTCAGAATGACCACAATTTGAATAAATAATCTCCTTTAGTTCTAAGAAGGTAGAAAATGCATAAATAACCTGGAACCCCATTAAGGAAACTGTATTTGGAAAATTGAGCCTTTTATGCCAAAAAAGGGAGGAGGGAGATACAACAACCATTAACACATCTTGTCATATTAATTACCATTAGTGAAAATATGTGTGAAAAGAGCAGCGTTTTTGTTGGTGGGAAGGAAAAAAATCAGTGCACACTAATTTTTCAAATTTCATATCAGAAGTGTGATTATCAAAAATATGAATTCTTAATTAAAATTATTTTCAATTATGAATAACCATAGATTAATCAAGTGTCTAATTTACCAGTAACAGTCATGTTATCCAACATTTTCTTTTACTGAATACAGACACCTGCGCTGAAATAATATTTATGTGATTATTCGAGCCACATAATCATTCTTTGCAACCACTTAAGCCTTTTTTGAAACATGCTTAATTTACAGTTAATGCATTAAAAACTTTGTGCAAACAGAAAACGTTATGTCTGCTTTTCCGCCCCAGGGTGTGTAGCACACATAAATGGAGAAATAACAGATCGGTGAGGCTTATTTTTTTTTTTTTGTAATATTTATCTAGTAAAAGGTAGAAAAGAGTGTAAAAGATTCATTTGATTGAGAATGGCAAATAAACTGCATGCTCGCTTGAAGGTCTACCTTGACGCAACCTGACACCTAGAGCTGAATTTCCAGTCGCTGGAATATCGCGCTACTCTTACCACCGAAAATGTTCAAAAGCACCCACAATCTGGCTATGAGTTTAAATTCCCTCTTCAACACCGCATTTTAGTAGCATGTAACCAATTATACTAGTCTAACCAAATCTCTAAGCTCTTTGCAGCAAGGTTCTAGAAATCCCCCCTCCCCCCGCCCCAGCAAACATTTCGAAGCTGCACCACAAGTCAAGTCTGTCCCCAAAAGCTTAAAAGTAATCAAAGAAACGCAATGCCTAGACAGCAGAAGCCCACATCCCTTGGAGGTGGAAGCTGGAGGGGAAGGGTCTGACAGGCAGAGATAAAGGTAAGAGAGGGATTCCCCAGGCTCTCCTGGGGCGGGAGGATGCTGTCTGCCCAGCTCTGCGCCTGCAATTTCCACGCCACACACATCATAGCCATGTCTGGGTCACGCCTGCCCACAGCCCACCGGGCATGCACATATGTGACGTGTCCGAAGCTGAGGGCAAGCCTCCCAGGGCAGAGTATGCCCCCAGGCTCTGCGCCTGTCCCAGGGCAGTTGCAATGCAGCAAGCCTGTTACTGTTACGGAGGCAAGAAAGCCATCGCCTTCCCACGCACGCACACAGGCTAGGTGGCCTCTTCTGCACAAGATGGGCCACCGACAAACTCACCTATGCTACATACCTGCTCCCCACCGCCCCCACCTCACTCGTAAAGTATGGGGAAAAGAAAGCAAAAACCCTTTCCGACCTGGTCTTCTTCTGCGCCTCTTCTTGGAGCCGAAGAGTTTGACCCGGGAAAAGACATTTAACTTGTTTTTGTCGCAGCTGGTCTTGCCTTTGCTGGGGCTGCTGACACACTTGCAGGCGTTGGATTTCTCGCGCTCGCGGGCTTGCCTCTTCTGACGGATGAGCGAGCTGGCGATAGCCGCCGCCATGGCCACGACGCCCACCACCACCGCTTCTTTTGCTGCCCCTCTCCGGGTTCACCTCCTCCTCCTTCTCCTCCGCTGCTCGTCCGCTGTCTCGCGACTTCGCCGCTTTAGTCTCCTTAGCCTGCGTTTGCCCGGGCTTCTCCGCACTCGGGCTTCAGCCAAGGAGGGGGCTCAGCATGCCGTCCGAGCTCCTCCGGCGGCGGTCCGGCTCCCGCGCGGGCTGCTGGCTGCCTGGGTCGGAGTCGACGCCACAGCCCCGGGCCGGGATCGCGGGCGAGACTGGCAGGCGGAGGCAGCGCTGCGCGACTGCGTGCGGTCGGCCCCTACGCCCCGAGGACACTGTGCAAGTCCAAGTGGCTCGGGTCGGAGTTTCGCGGCACCCCCCGCCCTGTGCCGCGCGGAGGGGGCCAGAGGAGGGAGGCGGGCGGAGGGAGTGAGCGCGGGCGGGAGACAGGCCGGGAGCCCGGGCGGCCGGAGGGAGGAGGGAGGAGGCAGCGCGCGGGGGAGCGCGCCCTCGCCCTGGCCCCTCCGAGTCTTCCACTAGTCCTTGCAACTTCTCGGCGTGATAATCGGGAAAAGTTGGCCCATGCCAGCCTTCCGACAGGGATCAAACAGGTAATGGCCTCGCATCTTCGCTGTTGCTGCTGCTCTGGGCGCGGCACAGTCGCAGCACAGGAATTCAGCCGCCGCAGGCACCCTCCGGAACAGCGCGACAGCCTCCTTGCAGCCCCCTCCCGCGGCGGCCCCTCCCTCCCGGAGCTGAGCCCGTCGGCTCGGAGCCGCAGGCCGCCCCTCCCACCCCCACCCCCCAAGTCCCCGGCAGGCCGTGCCGGCTAACACCTGTAGGGGCTTCCGCACTGCCCCATCGTCCAAATCCTCCTCCCCTCCTTTTCTCGAAAGGAGCTTCGGGAGGAAACAGTGATGGAGGAGGAACCGGGATGAGGTAGTTGGGCTGACGAAGCGGGGGTTTGCTTGGCATTGGGGGATGGCGTGGTGGGGGTGTTTCCTTAGTGTTTGAGCTGACCAGATTGTGCTCGGGCTGGAGCCCCTCAGAAGTTCGCCAGATCCCTGCCTCAGGCTTGGACGCACCAACAACCCGGAGAACCCTCACACACCCGCGCGGAGGTATTTTGCTTGGCGACACTTGTAGCCATTCAGGAGAGGAGGCCAGAGTCCCCAGACGGGTTCAGCCCCAGCGGCAGCAGCAGAAGCAGGCACTGCAGAGCTGCGCCCGCACACCACGCTGCCACCCAGTGGTTTTTGCTGACTTTTCATTTCAAGCCAATTTGTAGGGTCCAAAACCTGTTTTTCCTCTACGCCCCCTTATCTGTCCGCTCAGATTTGGGATTCAAGCAGAGAGCTTGGGTCGTGTACCATAAGCACTACGTGTTTGGGAAATGCAGAGTCGAACCTCTCTATTTAAGCCGTGGCCCATCTCTCATCTCCTAACTTAATGTTTTCTGCTCCTCCAAAGTCAGGCAGCCTTCCTCCCTCCAATTCAGGAACCAGTCTGGCTTGTCGCTGGCCTCACTCTATGAACAAGTTCTGTCCTCTCCCTGCGTTATATTTTATTCTGGAGGAAAAGAAAGAAGAGGTTTTGAGGCCAGAAATGCAGCGAAGAGAAATGGCCTATCTACATCCCTACCTTCAAACACACACAATTATTTGACTATTTTACTTGATTTCTGAGGCCAAATAGCAAGCAAAATAGAGCAGCTGTACTACCTGGCAGCCCTACGCCGTCTTTACTGAACTCCCGCATGGCACCCCCATCACCTCTTCTCAGAACTAATGTAGATGCAAAACCAGATGCTCAGCTTATCTTCAGACCCCAGCCCTTTTTTCCTTGCCTGACCGTCCAGCAAACACGCTCGGACTCAGCAACACTGAAATGCTTTCAGGCTTCCTAGAACATAAGAGCTGAATCACCGGACCCTTCTGTAGATTCCATTGCTTCACAGGGGAAGCTGTTGCTACCCCTCCTTCCACTTCTCCCCAGTCTTGAAATGTCTCTTGCTCCATCAGAAGCACCACTGTGTGTCTGCAAGGTAGACTGGGGTAAAGGTTGCAGTGGGCTGAGACTGATAGCTACAGGAGAACGATGCCAAAGGGTCTGACATTTTCTACCTACTGTTTTGTGCTTTTGGCTTTCCCAAATGAAAAGGGAGGACAAGGTAGACGAGAGTTTTAACACCTCAAGTCTATTCAAGTATCCACTTCTTTAAACTTTGATTCATGGGGAAAAATAAATCCCTGATGACTGACTGACTGATACTGATTCTGAAGAGCAGGAGGCTACTTCCTAGTTCAAAATGTATGTGATTGTTGTTTAAATTCCAGATACCATGAAGGGAAATATCTTACATAAAGAGGGGTCAGGAGAAGCTTTGATCGGGCCCAAATATTTGGGGTGGGTGATGAACAGGTACAAGGTCTCTGCTATTCTCTTCATGTTTTTACCTTTTGCTGAGCACCAACCCCAAGGGCCTTTTGTTCCTACTCTCATTTCTGTCTCGGGATCCTGACCTAGAGCAGGCATGCAAAAGCTAAAGAAGGATGAAGTTCTGATTCAGGAAGGGGATAGACCTTAGAAGGAGAGACGGTATTGAGAAAATCATAAGGGCTTTCCCACACCCTTTTTCTTCCACTTCTCTCAGATAGCTCTCACTGTTTGCTTCTGCCAATACCATTGATAAGGTATTTTCAGGATGCCTGTAGAATTATTGATGTGGCCACTCTGTGGTACGTATTAGAGGTAAACAGACTCAGAGAAGACTTCAGGAATATATAATAAGAATGGCGGGGGCATTTATTACAAATTTGCAAACACAAACTGTAAATACATCCTTTTGGTTCTAACTCCCGTCTACTCCACATGAGCTCATGGAACCACTGGGCCAAAGCTGATAACCAGGTGATTCTACACATGTTTGTAGATGTCTTTCTTGCTCTAATCCTTCTCTCCCTGATTAAATTGTATAATATTGAAAAAATGAAGAGTATGGGGGAGGGGAAACCAGACTCTGCCTCCATCACATGTTCCTGCCAACCCACAAAAAGTATTTCTGTCTTTTTATACCCTGCCCCCCTTGAATCTTTTTGTCTTCATGAACAGGAAAATGCATGGCACATTATCAATGAGACTTGAGAAGGGGGCATCTCTCTGTGATGTGTCTGCCTACAGACCTCATTCATTCTCCTCTCTCTTCTACTAAGAGAACTCACAAAGGCCTGTGACCAGAGGGTAAATTCAATCTGGGGCAGAAAGTGAAAGAAAACCATTCTGAAATTGGATCCAAATCATATTGCTCAATGAACTTAACCATTCATAATGCAGATATTGGCCAGGCGTAGTGGCTCACGCCTGTTATCCCATAATTTTGGGAGGCTGAGGTGAGCAGATCACCTGAGGTCAGGAGTTTGAGACCAGCCTGGCCAACATGGTGAAAACCTGTCTCTACTAAAAATACAAAACTAGCCAGGCATGATGGCGCTTGCCTGTAGTCCCAGCTTCTCAGGAGCCTGAGGCGTGAGAATTGCTTGAACTCGGGAGGCAGAGGTTGCAGTGAGCCGAGATCAGGCCACCACACACACACACACACACACACACACACACACACACACACACACAAAGCAGATATGTTTGTGTTTTCCTAACTCTCATGTCTATTTCCCAGGTGCTTAAAATTTCAGAGACGGATGTGAATATTACTTTCAAATCTCCAACAGGAAACTATGCCAAAGTCACATGTATCTTGAGAAAGTATAATGAAAGAATTGCAGCCAATCCTAGAAAAGCATATTTTGCTTTTCTTTGCTGTCCCACTGCCTTCCTGGGCCAATAGTATGACATTTGTGTAGGGGAAGTAATAAAGAATTCTCTTTTGACACCTATTTACAAATCCCTTTTTCTCCTGTTTTGATTTGTTCCTAGCAGTTCACATTGTGCCCTTGCTATGGAACTTCCTGGATCTCCTTCATATTTGTAAATTTCAATGATCTCTGCTTATCCCTGGTGGTTCAAACTCTTCTGTGCTCTATTCTAATGTAGGGTCTATTCTTTGTTTCTCCCAGGTGTCCTCTGTCCCATTGCATTGTCCACCAACCTCTTTTTTTGACCATATTCAGAAAGAAAGCATTCTTAGCTTCTTTTTCTAACTCAACTCCTAAAGAGTTCTAGCCTGGCAGGCTGGAAACATATGTTTTAATCCTGTCTCTGCCACTAATTGGCTGTGTGACCTTGAGTATGTCATTTCTCCATATTACAGACCTCAGTTTTCCCATCTTTAAAGTAATGCTTAGACAAGATTGGCAGTTTTCACTTTGTATTCTTCAGCACTCTAAAAGTAATGAAAAGTAATAACAGTTCCCTCGCCAATGTTTCAACAGTAGATTTCATCTATTTTAATT